TCTTCTCATCATGACTATAATAATGATGATAATGATAATCGTAATAATGATAATAATGACAACAATAATAATAATGATAACAATAATAATGATAGTGGTAATGATGATAATGGCAGTGATATTGATAATAATCAGATGATGATAATAATGGCAATGATAATAATAACAGTAATGATATTAATGATAATAATTGTAATGATAACGATAATAATGATGATGATGATTATAGTAATTAAAATTATCTATCATCATTAATCATCACAATTATTATTGGTGGTGTTTCATCATAACCATCTCTAGTATCAGCATCACCGTTAATAAAGCATTTATTTTCCCCGTCGCTCCATCACTTTCCAGTATTTCCTCTTTCGTCATCTTTAGCTCTTCTCGTTCCTCCTCCTCCTGCATCGGTCTTACGTAGGTTATGAAAGGCTGCTCTCTCTCTCTCTCTCTCTCTCTCTCTCTCTCTCTCTCTCTCTCTTTCTCTCTCTCATATCCTCTTCTTTCTACTTTTCCTTCTCTTCGGTTTCCTTCTCTTCGGTTTCCTTCTCTTACTCTTACTACTACTGCTGTTAACTACCTCCGCCTCCTCTTATTTCCCCAGTACCACTTCTTTCAGTTCCTCCTCCTCCCGCCCAACCTCTTCCTGCTCGTCGTCGTCGTCCTCCACCCCCCACTCCTCCTCCTCCTCTTCTTCTTTCTCCTTCTCCTCCTCCTCTTCTTCTTCCTTCTCATCCTTCTCCTCCTCCTCTTCTTCCTCCTCCTTCCCCTCTTCCTCTTCTTCTTCTTCCTCCTTCTCTTCCTCTCCCTCCTTCCCCTCCTCCTCCTTTTCCTCTTCTTCCTCCTCCTGGCTGTCCCGCATCTCCGGGGTGAGCGGCCGCGCCCCTTGTTAGATATTGATCACGCGGCGAAGGTAGCACACAGGGCGCGTGTTGGCCATGCTGTTGCTGCTGTTGCCGCGCCGGTACTGTTGTTGCTGTTGCTGTGCCGGCATTTCTGTTATTGCTGCTGTTATTCTGCCGGTGCAACGATATTGTTTCTGTTTTTGCTTGTACCGGTACCGCTGTTGTTGATACTCTAGCGATGTCCCGGTACTTTTGTGGCGTTGCTGTTGTTACTACTGTTACAGCTGTTGTGGTTACTGTTGCTGTTGCACCTGCACGTGTATGCTCTGCTGTTCACGCGAGGTTCTGCTGCTGTTACAGCTGATGTTACGCTCGTGGCTTGCAATTGGCGATCTTCACCTGTTTCACGCTTGTGGCATTTTGCTTCTCTTATTGTCTTCATCTTACTATCGTTTTTTTCTTCATTTTTTTTACTGTATCTTACTTTTACTACTACTACTGTTGTTATCATTATTGTTACTATTACTACTACTACAACTACTATAATATTACTACTACTATTGCTACTACAATTATTGTCATTATCAGCTTTATCAGTCCTCTTATACTTCTTAGATTTCTTCATTATTTTCTCCTCTTCCTACTCCTCTTTTCACTTGTATTATTTATACTAATGTATCTTGATGTTCTTCCAAATCAATATCCAGTAGAAGAAAAGTTTTTAGGAACCTTCTTTTAGTACATATCCTTTTGAATGATTTTGTGGTGTGGTGAGTGATGTGGTGAGGTGGCATAGTGACTGATGTGTGGTGATTGTTATGATGTTATGGTGAGCATTGATTTAGTCTGGTTCCTGCTCTGATAGTGTGGGTGAGAGATATGGTAGTATGATGACTGGTATGATATGAAATGTTATGGTGAGGTGAGCAGCATGGTTTTATTGTGGGATAGGTCACTGTATGGTATAGGGAATGGTAGGGAAAAGGGGAATGTGATATCATGATTTTTTTCCTCGTTTTATTTGCTTTTCCTTCGTGTATTTTATTTTCATATCACATATTTCTATCCTCTTTTTTCCTTCCTTCGACTGTTCCCTTTACGCTTCATTTTTTTTTCTGTATTTTATACGGCGTCGTTCACGTATATACTATTTTTTTAAATTTATTTTAAAACTCCTTTCCCTCCTCCCTTCACTGTTCTTCGTTTTTAGGAGTTACTTTTTAAACGTTTCCTCTTTTTCCCTCTCCCTTCTGTTATATTTTTGTCGTCTTTTGTTTCACGCATTTTAGTATTATTTGTTACCGTGCTTACATTCTCCCTCTCTCTCTCGTCCCGTCCTCATTCCCTCCTCCCTTCCTCCCATCCTTCACTAACTCCCTTACTCAGCTGTAATGACCACAGCTCCTCCTGCTCCATCATAACCTCGCTTGACCTCCCCCTGATGACCCAGCCAGGAGCACATGCCTCCTTTCCCCTCCCTCTTTTTCTCACAGCATAGGTCTCTCTTTCCTTTCGCTCTTCCTCTTAGCTCTAGTTTGTTTTTCTCTCTCTCGCTCTTTCTCTCTTTCTTCAGAGCTCTTGTTTCCTTCCCCTCTTTCCCTCTCTCTGATTGAAGAGGCTTGGGACCCTCCTCTCTCTCCTCCTCCTCTTGTCTGGATGGTTATTTGATTAGCTGTCTCTCGTTCTCGTTTACATACACGAACGTTTGGGTGAAATTTACTTCCTTTTCCCTTACAGCTTCCCTCTCTCTGTCTGTCTGTCTCTCTTCTCCTCTCCCTCCATTCCTTCTTCCTCTCTCTTTCTTTTCCCTTTTTAATTTTTCTTACCCTGTAAAACAACTGAGAAAACTTTCCCGCCGCCGATATCATCCTGTTTAAATCTCTAACATCCTTCCTCGTGTTCGTGTCAAAGAAGAGAAAAGGGAAAGAATCTGATTTCTTTTTCCATTGCTGCTGTCAATGAGGGCGAGACAAATCACTCACGGAGGCCTCCTCGGGCAGGCCGCCAAGATCAGCTGCTTTTCCATTCCTTATTGGTGTTTACTGGTAAAAGGCGTCAGCCAATCACAGCGGTGCCCTGTTTTGAAGGACAGCCAATCACGGTTGCGCAATTTCTGAACGGCCGCCAAACGCGTCTCCTTTTTTGAACGACGACCAGTCACAAAGACGACCTTTTTTAACAAGCACATCAGTGCCGTTGTTGAGCGACAATTAAACCCAACACCTTCCACTTTTTTAGCGACAACCAAACTCAAGTCGAGCAACAACACCAACAACCTTTCATGGACGAAGCTAATCACGCATCGCGCTTTTTTCCTCTTTTCCTCCGCGATGATCGACTCTCACCTGGTCTCCTTTCGAAAGTTCGCTAAGTGCCGGTTGATGCCGTGCGTCGGTGGCCAGTTAACGAGGTTATTGGGTGGTTTCCGGTCGTTATTTGCTCTTAGCGGATCCATTGTCTCATCGGTCGAAGACTGTTTGTTCTGGTTCGATTCGCCACGTTGGCTCGGTAACCTGATTATTATTGTTATTGTTTCTTGGCGTTGATTGGTTTTGCTGTTGGAGTGGTACGGAAGGAATTTAAAATACAAGAGAATGAGATGTATTTTCTTCTGTAGTAACATGATATAATTTGTTTACAGAAGAAAGTCTATAACGTTTAAAAAAAATGATAACGAGATAATATAATTTCATTGTTTTACATTTGAGATGACACAACGGAAAAGAAACTGTAACTGGAATGTGAGCTCGGATTAACTGAAGCATTACTTGTAGTCGTACACGGAACACCCATTACGACACCGCTTTCTCTGGAGAAGGGATAAGGTGAAGACATGGCCTCCGAGGCTGTGACTATCCGCCTGTGATCGAGTGGAACGCCGTCTCCTTGCGTAACGTTATGGGGGACTTCAGGGCCTTGCGTACGGTGTAAGGTGCTGTGTTTCTCTTTCTTTCTATTTTTTTTCTCTCTCCGTCTCTCTCTCTCTCTCTCTCTCTCTCTCTCTCTCTCTCTCTCTCTCTCTCTCTCTCTCTCTCTCTCTCTCTCTCTCTCTCTCTCTATCTATCTCTATCTGTGTGTGTGTGTGTGTGCGTGTGTGTATATCTGTGTCTGTGTCTGTCTATCTATATATGTATCAATCTATCTCTATCTCTTCCCACTCCATCTCCTTCTCTTCCTATCCCTCCCATTCTCTATCCCTTTATCCCTCTGTCTTTATAAAGATTTTTTTTTTCTACATCTGGCAAATGATTAGGAAGATTCTAATGCTTTGGGTCTTCAATGTTATTTTAGACGAGATAGCATGAGCAGGTTTGGTAATCATCAGGGGTGTAGCTAATGATTTCTATTGCAGGATGCAGGCTAAGTGCGCAAAGTTTTTTTTTCCTCATATGCCCATTACAGGGGAAAACTTGCCAACAAAAAGGGGCATTTAGGCGTGCGGCAACCCCCCTTCTCTACCTCCCACCCCCTTTCGGTACGCTGTTGTTGGTAAAATGTGTAGGTGAAGATAGATATTTTTTTTATAACGGGAATCTACATATCCAAATAATAACATGTTACTTCCGTGCATATACGTATTCCATAGATGTTCTTTATCAAGTACTTCATGACACTAGACTGTACAAAATATCAAGTACTTCAAGATGTAACACTATCCAAAATGTCAAGTGCTTCACGTTGTAACATTAGACTATCCAAAATAACCGTTTTCCGACATAGAAGAGGCTGATTTTCGAGACCAGGGAACTGTGAACTTGAGTTAGTAACCTTGGCTTCCCAGAGCTTATTCCAGCCTCCATTTCGCAGGAGTTTGAGATAAGCTTAGATGGAACGAGTATGACAAGCGAGAAGTTTCACGTTTGTGAAGCCTAGCGAACGGAAATAGTTTGTTCTTGGTCTTATTTTGCTTGTTTGTTTGCTTCTACTAAAGGTTTTGTTATGGAATTATCTTTCTTTCAGATTTTTTTTATCCGGGAGAATACAAGCGTAAAATGCGATTGTCTTTACGCTTTTGAAACAGAAAAAAAAAATAAGAAGAAAAAATCATAATTTCACAATCTTTCTTTCCCATTTTTTTAACCTTAATTCTCATCATGCATTGCCATGACCCCATCCCGACCACAGGAATTAATGTTTGTATTCCGTCTCCCTCAGGTGGCGTCGGCAGCGGTATGCAGGAGGGTGGAGAGGGCGAGACACGAGTCCGCGTTAGCCAGGTAAGCTACTGCGCATGCGTCGTCTCCCAGTGGGGGTCTGTGTGCGTGTGTGATTGTAAAACGGAAATATTTTTTTCCTCGTGTTTTTTTTTCCTTTTTTTCTCTTTTCTTTATTAATTAATATATGCGCACATAGGTCTTAGCTATCTTTGGTTCGATAGCGATGATTTATTTCTATTAATTTTTTTTATTTATTTTCTAATCTCTTTCTCCAGATGTATCTAGTCTTTAAATTTAAGGAGTGATTAATATTTCCCCCCCTCAAGATACACTCATTGATGATTTTTTTTTATATCTTGTAATTGTTAAGGGTGTTTATCAGGGCATCGCTTTCGTGGCAATGGTAAGTTATTTGAAGAAACCTGTGCAGTGGACAGTTTGATGAACTAGAAAGCTTGTGATAACATTTCTGCGGTTTCGGTAAAAATAAACGAATGGTAGAGTCTGTGTGTGTGTGTGTGTGGGTGTGGGTGTGGGTGTGTATGTGTGTGAGAGAGAGAGAGAGAGAGAGAGAGAGAGAGTGTGTATTTGTTAATTTGTATGCTCTTGCGTTTGAATGCTTTTGCTTTGAAGGGGCTACATCCAGTATCACCTAATTGTTGCTCCCCCCCCCCCTCTATATATATGTGTGTGTGTGTGAGAGAGAGAGAGAGACAGAAATAGAGATAGAGATAGAGACAAAGACAGACAGAGACAGAGAGAGAGAGAGATCGTAGTTCTATCCATCCGCTGAGAATACACTGCCATTCACTTCTCTTTATCATTCCGTCTTTCACTTGCATATTCTCTTCCTCCCTAATCTCTTTCCCCTCTTCCTTCTTCCCTTCTCTTGCTCTTGCCTCCTCTCTCTTCTCTCTTCCTTCTCCACTCTTCCCCACTCTCTCCCGTCCCTCTCTTCCTTTTTCCCACTCCACTCTCTTCCCCCTTCCCCCTTCTCTCTCTTCCCTTCTCTCTCCCCAACGCATTAAACACATCTACCTGCCGGAGCATAGCGGTCGCGGTCGTTAAGGAGAATCGCAGCCCTGAAGTTATACTGATTTTCGACCCTATCGTCCTGCAGTCTGGTAATCGATGCTAAAGTATAGCATTGTTTACTTGTCCTTGCGCCATAAACCGTGTTTTTATGTATTTTAGAATGGATTTTAGGGGAAATTTGGGTTTTAGGGGAATTTCTGTTGCAGTTTTTTTTAGAAGTTTGTTAAAATTTGGGGGAAATTTGGATTCTGAGAGAATATTTGCTTGCTCTAGGCTCTAGGTTTTAGCTGGTGTTTTTTTCATGCATTCTGTCTTTATGTGAAGTACAGTAGTTAAAGGGATTAAAGAAATTAATGAATATGGGTAGAAATAAAAAGATTCATAAATGAATAAATAGATATAAATAAGAATAGAAACATACAAACAAGAGGCATCGTTGAATTCTTTTTCCCAGTTGCTTAACATTTGATTTCTTTCCGCATCATGTAGCTGACTTTTGCATATTTCCCGTTTCTTTATAACGCATGCCCTTCTCTCCCCTTTCTTTTTTCCTTCCTTTCTCTTCTGTTTTCGCATTGCCTCATTCCCTCCTTTCGTTGTTTCCTTCGCAGTTTGTTATCTACCATATTATTTATTTCCCTACTTTCTCCCTCCGCTTCCTTGACTGCCATGGGTTATCTTCTTATTCGTCTCCTCGTTCTGTTTACTCCTTCATTGTCTTTCCTCTCCTTTGTCTACTTCTCAGGCCAGAGGAGTCTTTTTTGAGCGGTATCTCCGGGTCATGCTTTGGTGTCAGAGAGAGACAGGTGTGCGATCGTCCACGGCCTTTGTCCTCTCTCTCTCTCTCTCTCTCTCTCTCTCTCTCTCTCTCTCTCTCTCTCTCTCTCTCTCTCTCTCTCTCTCTCTCTCTCTCTCTCTCTCTCTCTCTCTCCCTCTCTCTCTCTCTCTTCTCTCTCTCTCTCTCTCTCTCTCTCTCTCTCTCTCTCTCTCTCTCTCTCTCTCTCTCTCTCTCTCTCTCTCTCTCTCTCTCTCTCTTTCTCTCTCTCTCTTTCTCTCTCTTTCTCTCTCTTTCTCTTTCTCTCTCTTTCTCTTTTTCTTTCTCGTTTTCTTTAGCGTTCTCGTTCTCTTTCTCTATCTCATTCGCCCTTCCCTTTCTTCTCCTTTCTCCCCTCCGGTGTTTTATGTTGTTGCCATTATCTGCGCAATACAGGGCTGAGAAACACAAAGGTGGAAAGAGAAAGGAAAATACGAAGGAGAGAATAAGAGTTTTTTTTTGTTTTTCCTTTTTGAAGACACGGCGCGAGTGTTAAGGTCAGAATAGCCGTTGCCTTTGTGCTTTTCGGATCTTTAATTACCGGCGAGTGCGCGAGGGTCCCTGTCGGCGGTGTCAGGGTTGGGATGATGTCGGCGCTTAGGGAGTGATGTCAGATTTCTGGCATTGTGTAAGGATCTGTGAGTGATATCAGGAAACTACAGGTGTAAAGGATGTCACTGGTTTGTGAGTGTGTCAGGGATCTGTAGGTGGGGTTAAGACTCTGCACGAGGTATCAGGGCTCTATATGTGATGTCATGTCAGGGCTTTATGAACAATGTCTATGGGTGGGCTCTATGGGTGATATCAGGACTCTATGAGCAATGTCAGGGCGCTATGCATGATGTAAGTTTCCGGGTTATGCTAGTGATGTCAGAGCTGTGGAGGAGAAACGTGTTCCTGCTCCCGTCAGAGTTCCTCCTTGGTTTACGCGGTGTTCATTCTGAAGGGCCCTTGATCTCCGGGTCTCAGGACTTCAAAACACACACCTTGAGCGGTAACCCAGGGCACATAGTGGAACGTGGGTTTGGGGACCGTGGAGTTTGTCGGCTGGTTTGCTAAAGTTAGGTGAAGTGTTTGTTTTGGATTATCTTTTACGTTAGGTTGGATGGGGATTATTTTTGCTGCAGGTACAGGTGTGGTTGTACGTACACGCGTGCACACACACACAAGCACGCACGTACACGTGTGCACACACACACACACACACACACACACACACACACACACACACACACACACACACACACACACACACACACACACACACACACACACACACAATCACAATCACACTACATTACATTATATTACATTACATTCTACACGTAGCCTCAGTTCAGGTCAGTAACCCTCGCAATTCGTGACGCCTCCGAGGCCCCGTAATGACGTCACGGCTGATAAATTCTACCGTTCTAAGTGATGAGGCTTTTTTCCATGACTTATGGTGCGTCTAATAGACACTTTTACAGATAAATGTCGCTCCCTTTGGAAGCCGCTTCTTTATATTTTCTTCTTTTCTTTTTCTTTTTCTTTCTTCTTCATTTTCTTCGTCTTCTTTTTCTCTTCGCCTTCTGCGTATGCTTGTTGCTGTTCGTATGCCTCTTTATTTCTTTCTTCCTTTTCATTTTTTTTTCTCCTCTTCCTCTTCTCATACTCCATTCCCTTCTTTTCTCCTTCCCCATTTCCTCCTCCTCCTCCTCCTCCTCCTCCTCCTCCTCCTCCTCCTCCTCCTCTTCTTCCTCCTCCTCTTCTTCTTCTTCCTCCTCTCCTTCTTCCTCGTCTTCTTCTTAATCTTCTTCTGTCATCACCCATGCCGCCACCGTCCTCATTATCATCACCATCCGTCACCCTCACAATTCCTCTTCCTCTCATGATTATTCATCTCTCTCCCTCTCATCTTAATATTTTCCTTTCATGTTCTCTCCACCCGCGGCAACGACATCTCTTCTCTCTCCTTTTCTCCTCTCTTCTATTTATCTTCGTCTTCGAGGAATTACGCCCTTCATTGTTCACCGGAAAGATCAAGAGAACTTTAAAAGGGATTCCGGTGGGTTGCTTGCGTACTTCTTGCGGCTCTTCTCTTGTCGTTGTTGTTGTTGTTGTTGTTGTTTTTGTTTTGCTGGTTTTGTTTGATGGCGTGTGTTTCGTCTCGTCTCTTTTTCCCTTTTCTCGCTCTCTTTCTTTTTTTTCGTTCCTTTTCTGTCTCGCTCATCTCTTTCTTCTTTCTTTCCTTTTCTCGCTCTCTCTCCTCTTTCTTCCTTTATCCTCTCTCTCTCTCCCTCTCTCTCTCTCTCTCTCTCTCTCTCTCTCTCTCTCTCTCTCTCTCTCTCCTCTCTCTCTCTCTCCCTCTCCCTCTCCCTCGTTTTCTCTTTTCCTCTCTCTTCTTCCTTCAGTCCCTCCCTCTTTCGTTGCAAGGCTTCTTTGACTTTTTTAAATCTCTCCCTCCTTTGATCCTCTTTCATACTCTCTTCATCTCTCCTCTTTCCCCTTGTGATGATAAGCAGAAGAAGGGGGAAGAGGGGAAGGGGAGAAGGGGGCGTGTGTGCATGTGCGTGTACTTGTGTGTGTGTGTGACAGAGGGAGAAAGAGAGGGTGAGGGAGAAAAAGAGAGAGAGAGAAAAAAAAAAAGAGAGAGAGAAAGAGAGAGAGAGAGTGAGTGAGTGAGTGAGTGAGTGAGTGAGAGAGCATCTCGTCGTATGTATGAATGTGCGTGCGCGTGCGTGGATGCGTTCAATAAATATGTGTCATCCGCTCCGTGTGTTGCGGTGACTGAAGGCCTTTTTCGTGGTCGTGTAGGGGCATGACGTAACGTGGCTGTGGTCGTATTAGGAGTGTGTATGGTATGTGGCGGTGGGTTTGTGAAGGTCGTTGTGTGGATATTGTGGCAAGGGTCGTTTTTTTTCGTGTGTGTAACTGTGTGGGTGATTTATTGGGCTGGTGTGTTAATTGCTCCGCGTGGTCATTACGGCGATTATAGCTAATGGTGGCGGCAAGAGTCGTAAAGCAAGGAGAAAAGAGAGGGATCAAAAGGACGTGTAAATAACGTTGAAGAGAGAGGGTGAAAGAATGATAAAGAATAAAGAAATGATGTGAGAAAGGGAGAGGGAAAAGAAAGAAAAGGGGATATGCAGACAGGAAATGTGAGAAAGAAAAGGAGGCAGAGAGAGAGGAAAGAAGAAGGGAGGAGAAAAGAGGAGAGAGGGAGGAGGGC